ACGCACGCAGAAAATCGACACACACATCCACGCACGCAGAAAATCGACACACACATCCACGCACGCAGAAAATCGACACACACATTCACATATAAAAAAGCACAAAAGAAAAAAAACTACTACAAATGTCTTATAATGTACTGGCAGCTCGTTTTAAACATTAAATGCATTAAAAACAAAACAAAAAAAACCCTTTTTCTTGAACATGACTCAAGAAATATTGCGCTTATCTAATATACACCATGCATATTCTATACCATCAAATACAGTAATTTGTCTACAGTAAGCTTGTATCTATATTTTCAATTTATTTAACTTAAATATTTTCATCTTGTTTAATGTAAGAAAAAAAAAATTGCTTTTTAAGGTTTACTCTAAAGGCCCAGAACTAATCAAAAGTTGGAACTATTTTGGCAATAAAGAAAACCTTTAGGTAAAATAACCAATTAACCTTCGGATAAAGTAAACAATACACAAAAATTTTTTCTGAAATGGGGTGCATCTAATATACCTGTGTGTCATTTATGCAGTCAAATTTAGTAAATAGTGTAGTCTGGCAGAGGGACCAAAAAAGCGGCTTCAACAATAGAATGTATATTGTTCTTTAATAAGATTTCTCAAATATTCAGGCTGGTAGATGAAAATGAATATACTACTTAATAAATAAGTAGAGAGTTTATTCAAGTAAGAGTATCTGTTAAAAATAAAGTTTCAGGTGATAAAATATTTGCAAATATCGTAATTTGGTTTGATTTGTTTTGTTTTACAACATATCAAACTCAATGGGTCATTTAATGCTGACAACTTTTTTTTTTTCCTGGTAATATTTTTGTTTTGTCAAAAATCTATTTCTGGTAATATTTTTTCCTCAAAATTGTGTAGCTGGTAATATTTTTTTTTTCAAAAATGTATTGCTGGTAAGTATTTCTGGTATTAAAACCTATTTTTACACTTTCATAATGTTTTTTTACCTCAGTTTTTGGGGTTAACTATTTGCCCATACCCAGAACACTAACAGGTGCTACCACCCCAGATCAGGGTGGAACTGGGAACACCAGCAATTAAGAGGTGGTTCCATGTTCCTCAAAACCTGATCAGAGACCTTGCTGTTGGATGTAGTTTATCGTCTTACCCTGGACGCAGATGTAGTTTATTGTCATCCCCAGGACAGTATCGTAATTTGGAGACAAAAGCAATTCTTAATATTTATAAGACAAATTCTCAATTTTTTATTCTTTTAAGTCTGCATTTTTTTTCTTCTTTCCAGATTTTAGCCTTCAACCTCTTTTTTCTTTTACCATTATTGACTTATCCTCATCATTGTTGTTTGACAATTGTCCGTGTAAATAATGATAATACCTAATCCCAGAAATTCAGTCAGAAATCTTCAACATTATCACTCGAATCACATGCCTTTCAGATGAACTTAATAAAGATGAATCAATTCGCAATGTAAGGGTCATGATTGTTTCGTATTATTTTTTCTCTGATGTTTTCTTATAATTGAAAAAAAAAAAAAAAAAAAAAAACTTTCTTCATTCTGATCTTGAGATGAAAGCAAGAAAAAAAAAATCATTAAAAAAACCAACCGCAAAATTCTTTTAAACATTTTAACAAACATTGTTTTAACCCCTTTTGATCTTTAAAAGTTTTCTTTTTAAAGTGGAACAGAAATATTCCAATTGTATTATGTAAATTAAATGTTTTTTTAAACAATAATGAAACATCATTTTTCATTGGATCGGCACAAAATAGAATTCAGAGGATAATACAAAGTATTGATATTTTCTTTTAAACAATAAAAACCTAACACTTTAAAAATAAAAATAAAAATAAAGAAAGCAGATATAGTCTCAAAATGACTGAAATAGATATACAATGGGAGAACTAATGCTTAAATCAAGTAGAAGGAACTCATTAGTCAGGAGCACAGTACATTTAAGAGAAGGAAAACTAATTTCAAATCTACACAGTTTTGTGGCCAGATGTAATCAAAGGAAAATCCAGGAGTGGGAATAATGGTGATAAAAATCAAGAGGCAGATTCCCAAAGGCTGTTTGATATTGCCCCCCCCCCTCCTACAACCTCGTTCTGGCAACTCTTGCGATGACAACCATGCCAAGAGATATTGGCACCAGCCATTCCCTTGAACAATATTAGTAGCATGGAGCAGGGGAAAGACACACTGGATGGGCCGTTGGTGTTCTTTCATGAACATATCCAGGCCATGTCTCTACCCTGTGGTGGCAAAAAGCGCAGAGGGCATCATCGATCAGTCATGAGTGTGGTTAGTTGGTAAAACAGATGGTGCACTAATCGCCACATGTTGGATAAAGAAAAAGAAATAACCTGAAGTCTGTAGTTTCACAAGACCAACAGATGTCGAAGGGAACCAAATGATTAACCATTTACTAAAATTTGGTATAAAATTTCAGTAATCTCAAAATAAATGAATTTAACACATATACAGATTTATATATTGAACCAGATGTAAAATTACTTGGAAGAAGAGAGAAAGAGGAGAAAGGGAGGGAGAGAAAGGAGAAGAGGAGAAGAGGAAAGAGGGAAAGGGAGGAGAAAGGGAGAGGGAAAGAGGAGAAAGGGAGAGGAAAGAGGAGAAAGGAGGAGAGAAGGGAGAGGAGAAAGGAGAAAGGAGAAAGGAGAAGGAAAGAGGAGAAGAAAGGGAGAAAGAGGAAAGAGGAGAAAGGGAGAGAGAAAGAGGAGAAAGGGAGAGAAAGAAAGAAAGGAGAAAGGGGAAGAGGAGAGAGAAAAAGGGAGAGAGAAAGAGGAGAAAGGGAGAGAGAAAGAGGAGAAAGGGAGAGAGAAAGAGGAGAAAGGGAGAGAGAAAGAGGAGAAAGGGAGAGAGAAAGAAAGGTAAATTTGACAGAGTTTAAAATCATCTATGCAGAGTTTTCCACCCTACAACCCCTTTCCCCACATACAAAATGTCACGAGTATAACTACTATCACTATTGCCTTGACCTTTGCAACTAGGACCCACCATGCCACGTACAAAAGGATGAATCGTCTTCATTCCCTTCATATTCTATTAAGAAAGAAGAAGTTCTTTCCAAGGACTTCTGCTTTGTGGAATGGAATGTTTTCCCAATCACTATAATCTTGGCCTCTTCAAGTTTAAGGTTAATGGTAATCTTTCCTGCATAATTCCATGAGCTTCTCTTATGCTCATACAACACCACACAGTAACTATCTACCTTGAGAGGCTCTTGGGGCCTTGTATTGGCAACAATTAGTATTTAAAAAAAAAAACAAACAAAAAACAATTACCCCTAAAAGCAAAAACAAAACATACCCACTACCTACAAAAAAAAGACAAAACACAAAGCAAGAAAAAAAAAAAAAAAAAAAAAAAAAAAAAAAAACAAAAAAAAAAACACAAAAAAACCAAAAAAAACACACAAAAAAAAAAACACAAAGCAAGAAAAAAAAAAAAACAAAAAAAAACACAAAAAGAAAAAAAAAAAAAAAAAAAAAAAGAAAAAAAAAAAAAAAACACAAAGCAAGAAAAAAAAAAAAAAACACAAAGCAAAAAAAAAAAAAAAAAAAACAAAGCAAAAAAAAAAAAAAAAAAAAAAAAAAAAAAAAAAAAAAAAAAAAAAAAAAAAAAAACAAAAAAAAAAAAAAAAAAAAAAAAAACAAAAAAAAAAAAAAAAACACAAAAACAAAAAAAAAAACACAAAAAAAAAAAAAAAAAAAAAAAACACAAAAAAAAAAAACACAAAAAAAAAAAAAAACACAAAAAAAAAAAAACACAAAGAAAAAAAAAAACACAATGTAAGAAAAAAAAACCAAATACTTTCATGGTAATTGTTCAGATGTGGTCTTCGCTATGGTATCTAGATTTTTTTAATTTAAGCATAATACTAGACTGGCATCAAGATCTCGTCAATTTACAATTGAGCTGGCTAGATGTAACCGTAAGTTCTATGCTGACAGTTTCTTCATTTGCTTGTGGAAGATAGTATGTAGACTTTATAAATTCAAGAGAATTACATGATTGATGGATAGATCTCATCATTTTATAAATGGCTTGATGTAACCATGTTCTATGCTAACAGCTTCTTTTCTTCCTTTGGGATCTATGCTTTCCAGCCAACTTTAATCTGTAAAAATTTAAATGCAATATCAATCATTATCTACTGTCCTCCTCATTATTCTTTCTGCTCATTACTAACATTTCTTTTTCTAATTCTTCCAACCCTGTAACCCCTTGTGTCATAGTGGCTTTACTCCCTACCAATGGGGGGGGGGGGAATACCAATTAGGAAGAAAAAAATGTTTCTCAACATAAGGAAAAAATCATTTTTACTTCAAGCAAAACAACTAAGATGCAAGGAGGAGTTGTTGAGGGCGGATGCGAACTGAGAAAACATTACCAAAGAAAACGGACAATAAGCAGAACAGGATCTAAAGAAACATAAGATGGCGATTGGAACCACATTTAAATCTTCTCACTCATTATTAATGTTTTTATTCCTAATTTTTCCACACTCTGTAAACCCTTGTGTTTTAGTGGCTTTATTGCATCGAGTGATACGAATGCAAAACAAAAACAATAATTAAGGCAATTTATTAAGATGTAATATTTTCCCATGTTGGATTAGGATTAAAAGGATAAAGATTAACAAGACGAATATACTTACTGCTTTCCATGCTGGCACTAGTTTGCTGCTTCACGTATTGGTCAGGATTAATACACAAATCTCCAAGACCCTGAAAAATATCAATTCTTTATCAGATGTTTTCCTTCACAGTGTTACGGCAAAATGTTTATTTCCAGGAATTCAATCAGACAAGCAATGAAATAAATAAACACAAAATATACAGGTTCTGGTACAGCATTAAAAAAAAAAAAAAAAAAAAAACAAACAATTTTTACAGATCAACATTCTGCAGACTTTCATTAGGCCGCAACAAGTGTTAGAATCAAAAGATGTTCATTATTTTTATTTTTAAATTGATTCAGAAGAGGTGGAGGCCAGTTTATAATATTAATACAGTGTCAAATCAATTTCTTACAGTTCAGGACAATTGTAGGGGGGGAGGTAAGTAATCTTTACAAGATCTTTTACCGCTCTTTGAACAAGTCACAACATTTGGTCTATGTATTTGATTAATTTTCATGTTTTTATAATGACACTTTGAGACAATTTTAATATGTGTCATGAAGCAAAAACCTACAAAAATTTTCACTATTTCTGTGGTTGGTGACTGCTACAACTTCCTTAGCATATTTGGTGCTGTTATATAGGGATGTGAGGAGGTGGCGGAAGCATGTAGAAATATCTGAAAAAGACACTGTGTGACAGTTGGGTGACAAACTGATTGATGGATGGATAGATTCATTCTCTATGGCTTATCAACCCTTTGCAGGTTATTTAAAGCCAGGAAATATTTTTAAATTGTAAGAATTTTGGTGAGGAGATAATGATTTACTGATCAAAGTCTTACAAATTAACCAATGCCTGGGTGGGGAGGGTATGCAGAGGAGAGGTGGATTTATAACCAATCAAGAAATTATATGGCTGTAAAGTGGGGGGTCAATTCTCTATGACAATCAATATATAAACTGATCCTTCACTTTGTGTCCATAGTAGTTTCTATACACTAAAAGTCCAGAAAATGTAAATAAATCTAAAAAGCATGCCTGGGTAGCTAATTAATATTGCACTAATTGAGGGGGTTCATTTTCTACAGCTTTTTTTTTAGTTTTGGAGATAGTAGTGGTTTAGTGATATAAGTTTTACTAATTAATCCATAGCTGGGGGTGGGAGAAGAGTTAGATTCATACCTTTCCCAAAGGGTATTTGCACAAAACTGATTATAACAAACCCAACTGAAATTGGTACTCTGCTCTCCAATTAACAATTCCAAGCCTTTATCCATTACACCACCTGCACATCCAAGCTTACAGCACCTGGTATTCCAAAGCAGTCACCCATCTAGGTATTGCCTAGCTTCGATGTTCCTTAACTTTGATGATTACATGGGAATCGATGATTTAACACTATATGGCCATAAGCCGTGGTGGAGGGAGTCAGAGAGAACGACAGAAAGAGCGCCAAAGAGAACGACAGAGAATGTAATGCTCAGGAACCTCTAGATCCATCAGCATTTGAGGAAGACCCCAAAATATTGGCTGTTATAGTAAACCAATGTCAAGGTTGACAACAGGTGCAACATGTTTTTACTGTTACTACTGCTTTGGCAGTAAGATAGTTCCGAGAGAGTGGTCACAGTGTTACGATAATTAGAAGATGCTTGGTCAATGAAGAATATGACCAAAATGAATCAAGCAAACAGAAATTGAATTGCACTTAAGCCCCTTCTCTTCTAGCCTGACTGAATTGTTCGATGACAACTGAGGAGTCTTCCTTTTGGAATATCTATTCACAGAGAAAGAGACATTAACACAGATATGGTTCTGCCATTAAATGCCGAGAATACCATTATCTGAACATGTGAGCAATGAGGAAGCCTTAAGGAAAGCAGGAACAACAAGGAAGCTTATGTCTCTACTGACAATCAGAATGAATTGGAAACAATGAGGAAAGAGGGCTTGGCGAATTTAACACTCACAGGACATTGAAAGCAAAAGAGAAAGAGAGTGAAAATGTGATTGACCTACACAAGGAGTTTGCATGAATGGTTACCAAAAGAACACGAGATGGGTCAGAAGTTACTTTAAAAAAACAACACACAGGATGTTGTAGAGAGCCGTGATCATTTACACCTTGAAAGTTCATGACATGTAAGAAAAAAAAAAAATAAATAAATAAATAAATAAAAATTACTCCTCAACTAGAAACCATGACAAGGAAAATTACATCATTATTTGATAAATAAATTTCTCCCAGCAGCAGGAGTTCTAATATCACAGAACTGTGTTAATATATTTACCCTCAGAAGAACTCAATTCCTTGATCTTTTTCCATTTATCCAAATCCAAGAAACATCTCCAGAATATCTTATGGAGTAATCTTGTTATTTTCACATGGAAGTGTTTTTTTTTGTTTTTGGTATGTAAGTATTTACCAGTTCATAAACTTCTAATCTACTTAGCTTACTGCTAATTGTTTTTTTAATTTTCCTTTTTTTCTTTTTTACTTTGCTAATTAAATAACTAGATGTTTTGGACAACAGCCAATCAAAATGGTTGATATATTCACCTCAGAGTTGGACATTGTCCAGAGAGACGAGGGCTAGTCAGCCATGACAGGCAACATACCTGTTCTTTCTAAATTGAGGCTGTCGTTGAATGAAATTACTTCCCATTTTGGGCTGTGCTGAATTTGGCTTGATTTAAAAGTCAGGGCTAAAATGTATGAGGTACCTTTATTCTAAATGCATACAACGGAGGTTTTGCAGGTTCAGTCCTAGACCACTGCAGTAAAGAAAATTTGAAAACGGGGTCAAATGACTTCCTACTTTCACAGTTTTACTTTGGTACATATAAAAATAGGTTTACACTTGCAGTCAGTTTAGTGTGCAATACTATTACGTCTAGGAGGAGGGGGAGAGAAAAAGAAAAAAAAAGTCTTGTTTCTTTAGAAAGGCAAAGACATTGGATGAGAGAGAGAGAGGAGGAGGTCCAAAATGAAGGAGAGAGAGAGGAGGAGGTCAAAGGGGAGGTGGGGAGAGAGAGAGAGAGAGAGGAGGAGGGAAAGAGAGAGAGAGAGGGAGAGAGAGAGGAGGAGGTCCAAAGGAGAGAGAGAGAGAGAGAGAGAGAGAGAGAGGAGGAGGTCCAAAGGGAGAGAGAGAGAGAGAGAGGAGAGAGAGAGAGAGAGAGGGAGAGAGAGAGAGAGAGGTCCAAAGGGGAGAGAGAGAAGGGAGAGAGAGGAGGAGGAAGAGAGAGAGAGAGAGAGAGAGGTCCAAAGGGAAGGGAGAGAGAGAGAGAGAGGTCCAAAGGAAGGAGAGAGAGAGAGAGGTCCAAAGGAGAGAGGGAGAGAGAGAGAGAGAGGTCCAAAGGAAGGGGAGAGAGAGAGAGAGAGGTCCAAGAGAAGGAGAGAGAGAGAGAGAGGTCCAAGAGAGAAGGAGAGAGAGAGAGAGAGGTCCAAAGGGAGAGAGAGAGAGGTCCAAAGGGAGAGAGAGAGAGAGAGAGAGAGAGAGAGAGGTCCAAAGGAAGAGAGAGAGAGAGGTCCAGAGAGAGAGAGAGAGAGAGAAGGTCCAAAGGGAAGAGGAGGTCCAAAGGAGAGAGAGAGGAGGATTGAGGAGAGAGAGAGGAGGATTGAGGGGAGAAGGGAAATTGAGGAGGAGAAGGGAGATTGAGGGGGAGAAGGGAGATTGAGGGGGAGAAGGGAGATTGAGGGGAGAAGGAGATTGAGGGGGAGGGGAGAAGGAGATTGAGGGGAGAAAATTGAGGGGGGAAAGGGAATGAGGGAGGGGGAAAGGAATGTCATTTCTTTAGAAAGGCAAAGAAATTGGATATGTGAGATGTTAGTGAAAAGTTCTCAGCCCAACCCTCATTTCCCATATCAATACTTCAATAACCAGGATTTGGATAACCTGTTTTAGGAAGATGATTAAGCGCTGAGGATTCCAAACATTACCATTTAGATTATAACCCTCTACTTTGTGTGGGTTTCAGGTCTTTTATTCGACAAAATTGAGTATATAAAAAAAAAGAAAAGCATTTTTCCTTATAACTACTTGTTTGGTCTGTCAATATTCCTATTGAATTATATACAAAAAGATTATACAGTGAAAATAACAGATCAAAATGTAGCTAGTCATTAAAAACTTTGTAGACAAGCAAATATCAAAGGAAGTTTATTCCTACGTACGACAGCCGTTCCCAAGTAAATGCCGCCAGCAATCCAGACGACCATCAAACCAAGACAGCCGAAAAATACACAGCTGAAAAGGAAAAAGAAATAAAAAATTAAAAATTCAGACATACTGCAAGAAACACTTAAGAAAATGAATATTGAAATTAAAACTTGTCCAATACGAGATGAAGTAGGGGGGTTGGGGAGAAGCAAGATAATGATTGCATGATTAACAGATTTTTTTTTTCACCTGGTCTCCAACAGATAATGGCATTAAATTTGACAAGCATTTCTTTCATATTATCACTTTTATACTTTAATGGTCATTATTAAAATTATCTATCTATACAGATGATGTAATGTTTAGGAAATTGGAGAGCAGTAATCAATTTCATTTATCTATGCACATATACACTATGATGAAAAGTGTATGACATCTCACACACACATTATATAATGCATATTCTTGCATATCGTAGACCTAAGAACCTAAAAGAAATCATAGGTAGTAACCACATTTCAGGGGACAAGGTAATCCGTAAGGAACTGAGAACAAAAACAACAGGATTTTCCCAACCATGTAACAACAAAAGAAGTTTATGTTGCAACCATATTAAAAACACGAATTCATTCACTAGCTCAATCACTAAATCTACTTTCAAAATCTACCACGATTCTAACTGTAGAAGTCAAAACATAATTTACCTCCTAGAATGCACACTATGCCAGAAACAATATGCAGGAAAATCTGAATGGCCCTTTAACTACAGAATTAATAATTATCGTGGCGAATTAAATTGACTCCCTATGAACAGTTATTACCTGTAGAACAACATTTCCGCCTAGAAAAACACGATTTCAAAACCCATGCCAGATTCACTATAATTGAGAGAATAGAAAAGTTCAGAGCAGATAACATTAGAAAGATTTTAGAGTCCCATGAAAATAAGTGGATACAACGTCTAAAAAACACAATACCCAGCCGGGCTAAATCATAAATTTAACAATATATAATAGTAACAATCAACAAATCAAAACCTACCCACATTTCTCACCCACACAAGACAGACATGCTTACGGAGGAATGGAGGCCTCACACTTATACACTCACCCACACGATTATACACACGTACACACACCATACTCACTCACTCCCTAATGAGCCAAATGATAACACACACCTACAGCAATACACACGCTTACATATATCATACTCACTCACTCCCTAAGAACCAAATAAACACACACAAACACTAAACAGAGACCCATCCCTCACCAGGTCCAATAAAACTGTCAAACTGACCAGAGAATTCAGGATAAAATGTATCGATCCAGTTCTTATCTCAAATAACAACTTAAAAGAGACTGTTTGACCAACAGTAGGATTGTTAAAAAAGATTCATGTGAAAAAGATAAAAAAAAAAAAAAAACAAATGAAAACTACAGACAAAAGTTCATTTTCTCCAACAAAAGACATTCATTTCTGTAGTTCACTGCCAACACCAAGCAGAAATATTTCTCCTCCCGATGATGGCCATTTCGGTCCTAAACTAGTCAAGGAATCTAAATGGAATAATAATAATAAAAAAACGAAAGAATATTAATCTACAACCCAGTGTGTCTAATGATTTTAATTTTTTAATTTTTTGTTCTTATTGTTCAAAATATATATATATATATATATATATATATAAATTTCGTTGTCAAGTTTTTTGAATGAACGGATTTCTCTGTATCCTTGGAAACAGTATATTACGAATTTATATGTGCATTTAAAACTCAGTAAATTTAAAAATAAGTTATTCCAATCAATATTTGCTTAAAGATGAAATGGAACTAATTTTTTTAATTTAATTATATAATTAAATTTAAAGTTTTTAGCTTCCATTTTTGAAACATGGTTATTACTGTGTAGCGAAAAAAACATTTTCAATCAGTTAATTTATAATATTTATGCTCTGTAAATTTACATTGAACACTGTTTTGTAAAAATAAAAAAATATCAATAAGAACACCAGATTATATATCTTAATGTTCTTTCTTTTTATCTATTTATGCATTTATATATATATATATATATATATATATATATATATATATATATATGTGTGTGTGTGTGTATGATGACATCTTACCAGTTCACATGAACTGATTCTCAAAATTATCAAAGCTTAGCAAACCTGTTGTTGGATTATCTGAAAATAATCTTATATATTGATAGCGGATTGTCTAGATAAAATGTTAGTTACACTAGACTTGTGTGCACTCCTAGTTAAACTCTAATAGACACATGCCCTCTACAACAACATTCATTGTGATGACATAAGCAATAACTCTCATACCATAAATCATAAAATTCATGAATTAATATTGTGAACCCAAATTCTTGGACTCTGGGAGAAGCTGTAGTTCCTTGGAAAGATATTGAAGAGAAATTTTACTGGACTTTTCGTAATGTATCTCGCTATGAGATTTCTTAATGATTTCTGTGTTTATGTTAATAAAGTAATGAGAAATTACCATAAACATGGCATACCCAAAACTACAAAAGCTAAAAATATAATTAATACCACTGTTGCAAGTTCGGCGGAGACTGAAAGAGGATTTTCTGGTTTGGTTTGTTTATTTCCGGCATATTTGGTTTATTTTTACGAGCATATCAACTTTGGTTCAATGGGTTATTTAATTATTTAATGGCGAGAACATTTTTAGGATAGATTCATATGAATAGAATATGTATTCTTTGGTTTAGATTGGTTTGGTTTATTTTGTTTTACGGCATATCAACCTCAATGGGTTATTTAATGCCGACAACATTTTTAGGATAGATTCGTATGAATAGAGTATGTATTTTTGGTTTAAATTGGTTTATTTTGTTTTACGGCATATCAACCTCAATGTGTTATTTAATGCTGACAAAAATTTTTATTGCTGGTAATATTTCATTTTGTCAAAAATGTTTCTGGTAATTTATTTCCTTCAAAATTGTATTGCTGGTAATAATTTTTTTCAAAAAAATATTGCTGGTAATAGTTAACTATTTGCCCATAGCAGGGACCATAACAGGTGCTAGCATGTAACACCAGCAATTAAGAGGTGGTTCCACGCTTCGCAAAACCTCCTGATCAGAGGCCTTGCTGCTGGATGTAGTTTAACGTTTTACCCAGGACATGGATGCAGTTTAACGTCTTAACCAGGACGAGAGGGATTTCTGGGATGAACGTAAATTATTCCGACAAAAGAAATCATCTTGAAGTTAAAAATGTGTCAAATCTTCTAGTGATAAATTTGATAGGTCTTCTATTGAATGTTTGGGACTCTAGCAATTCAGTTTGAATGTGGCTGAGAAACCATAACACAGTTGATGACACTAGAGCCAAAAAGCATCAGACTTCTGAAAAGAAATATGATGAGAACAGAATTTCAAACTGGAAATAAATGTTTTCTATTAAATTATCAAAATGGTTTAATTCTTTTTGATACTTGTTATATACTGTACCTATGAACACTAATGGGTATGTCTTAATCCTCAGAAATATGTTGGATCCTATTGTAAGGTGAGGGTAATATGCTGCTTAAGTAGGCTACCACTAGCAGTTGTTTACCTACTTCACGGCACTGATAAGTATTGTATTTTGTTGATGCTATAAAAATTACCATTTCATGTCCAGCCTCAGTTTTGGCTATTCCTCATTCAGTAACCCTTCCTAGGTTACAACAATTTTATAAAGTGATTTGTTTTCATTCACGTGTTGAAAAGAAAATAATTTGAATAGATTCTGAGGAGAAATATGATGAGAACAGAATTTCACTTTGCAAATATCTTAATAAATAAAGAAATGTTTTCTATTAAATTATCAGAATGTTTTAATTCTTTTTGATACTATAAAGTGATTTGTTTCCATTCACAGATTGAAAAGAAAATAAGTAAAATAGGTTTCTGAAAATTACCTATATTTATAGAACTGGTTCCTGGAAATTTATGATGCCACCACTGTATACAAGGATGCTCAGTTCTTTAAGGACATGTCTTTTAATAGTTCTAATTTTTTATAGAACTGGTTCCTGGAAATTTGGGAGTCTGATATATATATATATATATATATGTCACACATTATGAAATGGACAAAGTCCGACAATTATTTTAAAGGCACATCTAGCTAAATGATGGTTCCATATAGGCTACAGGTTCGAATCCTGTCGCAGGACAAATATTTTCTGTGAAAATTTCTCGGACATTCAGGCTGGTAAATGTTGTTTAATACTGTTTATTATAAAAAAGAACCTTTACTTAAATATTTGTATCTATAAAAAGAATGTATAAACATAAAAATGTCTTAAAATATATATATATGACATACAGACTCACACAAAGAGAGATGGAATGCAAGTCTAAGAATAATAATTCATCTAAGAAATTCAGAAAAAAATATGATTGCTAATAATAGAAATAAAAGCACAAAAAATAATATGAACACAAACAAAAAAAATTACTAACAAAAAAAAAAAAAAAAAAAAAAATCAAGATTTTATATAATCTTACTACACCCTCTTATCTCTTGTAGGCCTTGACAATATCTCACCCCTTTACTACACTCTACCCCCACCAACCAATTCTAATATCCCTTTATACAACTTTTCCCTATCCCTCCTGCTCTGGATATGCCTTGCAAGTGCCAAATTTTTCAAGACCTTTCTTTTTGTCCAAAATCTCTCAGCCATTTCTTATTGTGAATATAAGCATCCTTTTTGTTTCTATTTTTCTTAAGACTTCCTCATTGCACAAAATATCCACCACTGTGATTTTATTCAACAAAGGGAAATGTATTGAGTTACAACCCTGTTTATTTTTGTCTGCCAACTGGATGCTAATTGGAAACCTATTTGTGAAGTTGAGTCTTACTCTTGATTGTTCAATGCACTCTGTGGTATTCTCAGCATCCTTCTGTAGGACATTTTTATTACTTAATACTATTACTACTTGGTGGAAAAGCAAGAGAAATAAGATGAAAGAAATACTAGTGAAAAATGAATAATAATTGACAAGGCTTCATCTAAAAAATTCAGACAACTTAAGACTATTACTACTTGGTGGAAAAGCAAGAGAAATAAAAGGAAAGAAACACTGAACAAAAATTAAATAATTAAGAAATTCAACAACTTTTTACTTTGTCATTATGAATTCAAGAAATTAGTGAAAAAGAAAAAAAAATGCATTTTGAGTCCATACAAGACTATTACTACTGATAATAGCAAGAGAAATAAGTTATATTTACTTTGAATAAAATAACATCTTTCTTTCAGAATCTTAGTTTTACTCAGAAAGATAAGTGAATGGATTATATGCTTATATATTTGAATAATGTGTTTTATACTTACAAAAATAAAGCAGACATGAAAAATGAATAATAAATCTAAAAATTCAGACAAAGGATACTAATTAGTAATAGTGGAAAACTGATAAGATGAAAGAAATACTGAAAATGAATAATAAACAGAGACAATGTGGCAATCCATCTGAAAAAGAGAGAGAGAGAGAGAGGGAGGGTTTGTTTTTATGAGAGAAATTAACAATCACAAGTGAATATTAACTGAAAAATGAATTTTACATTTGTCTGATTAAAATTACCCTGATGACATGACATGTCAATGGAATATGAACAGAATCTTTTTTTTTTTTTTTATTAAAAATGTTTCTATTCAGGACACAGGTAAGATGAAAGGATTCTTGAAAAAGAATAATTTTCTTTATTATCTCTGAATTGCCATATATTCTTGGAAAAAAAATAGTGCTTTCCCATTGCCTCCTTCCTCGATCGATTTCCTTTGTTACCTGTGAATTGCTCTACATTCTTGGAGAAGATAGTGGAGTTCCATGTCCCTTCAAGACACAGGCATTCATGACACTCCAGAGATTCTTTTTCTTTATTATCTGCAAATTGCAATGCTTTTTGGGAAAGATAGTGGAGTGATTCAGGTTGTCTTCAGCAGTTTGGAAGAATTCAGCTTTCTTTGTCTTAGAGCAGCTGCTAACCAAAGTTGGAGAGTCTATGTCATTTGAATTCTCAAAAAAAAAAAAAATAGCTTTGGGGTGAGGAGAAGAGATGGATTTATGCCTTTACTAACAAGCATTTAAAATGTCATTGATAACATTTGAATAATGAATTTTATACTTCTCTTCAAGAGACAGACAATCATGGATACTCTAATAGCAAACTCCCTTTTGCTTTAATTATCTGCAACAATGTATTTTGGGAAGGGTTTGTTTTTATGGAGGGTTCCAGTGATACTGCTCATTTTACATTTGTCTGATTAAAATTACCCTATGAATGACATTCAATGGAAAGGACAAATTCTTTTTTTTTTTTTTTTTTATTTCATGTTTCTTCAGGAAGGACATAGGTAATCTTGATTCCTTTTCTTTATTTCAGATGATGCCATATATTTTTTTGCTTTTTTTTTCCTTTGTGAATTCCTTTGTCATGTATTCTTGGGAAGGTTAGTGGAGTTCCATGTCCCTTCAAGACACAGGCATTTTCTCCACAGATTCTTTTTGGAATCTGCAAGTTGCAATTCTTTTGGGAAAGATGGTTGATTCAGGTTGTCTTCAAAGTTTGGAAGAAAGACCAATCAACCAAAGTTGGAGAGTCTATTTAAATGAACAGCATAAGAGACAGATTCTGCCTTTTTTAACAAGCATTTAAAATGTCCAAATAACATGTCAGAATTTTCACATCTCGACGGAACAGACAAATGCTCTCCACATTTCCCTTTTCTTTAAAGTCCAAATATATGCAACAGGTTTTGCCTTCTCCACAGCTTGGGAAGAATCTTCTGAAAGGCAACAAATTTTCTCTAAAGGACATAGGTAATCTTGCCTCTTCAGATGATGCAGTTTTTTTTGTTTTTTTTTTTATTTGTGAATTGTCATGTATTCTTGGGAAGGTTAGTGGAGTAGTTTCGCGCTGTTTTCTCTACAGTTTGGAATGCAGTTTTCCTTCTCTTAGACTGGTTGAAAATCCTGCTATTTAAATACAGCAACATTCTGATTTTTCCAACAGAAAGTCCAAATGCAACAGATTTCTCTCCGACGGAAAGTCCAAATGCAACAGATTTCTCTCCGACGGAAAGTCCAAATGCAACAGATTTCTCTCCGACGGAAAGTCCAAATGCAACAGATTTCTCTCCGACGGAAAGTCCAAATGCAACAGATTTCTCTCCGACGGAAAGTCCAAATGCAACAGATTTCTCTCCGACGGAAAGTCCAAATGCAACAGATTTCTTTCCAACAGAAAGTTCAAATGCAACAGACTAACTTGGAATTGTAACTTGGCTTGCAGATTTCCTTTTCCACACGGATATCCATTACATGACCTGGACATTAATCATTAAGTAATCTTTTTTGGTATCTTTGTGCCAGCAATTGTTTAAGAAATTGATAAACAAAAAAAAAAATTCTTATTAAAAAATAAACATTTCATGGATGACAATCTCTAAATACGAAATCAAGCATGTATCTTTACTTTTGTTTCAAGGAAAGTTTTGTTTATTACCTAGACTCCTTGACAAATGAAATTTCTCAATATCTACTTATGGGGCACAATGGTTTGCAAGCTAGTCTTGCTAGATCAATTACAACTGAATAGAGAGTTTGATCCAGGTGCTCCATATTTTTGGCCTTGTGCCACATCTAAGCTATATTTAGAAAAGTCACCAGGGCACTTTGATGTCGTGCAAGGTTTAGCAATCTTGATCCATTACAACTGAGTAGTGAGTTCGATCCTCACTTGGTGCCCTACATTTTTGGCCTTGTGCCACATCTAAGCTATGCTTAGGAAATCGTTGTGCACTTCGATGTGGTGTAATGCTTAGTGAGTTTGTGTTACTAGATCCATTATGACTGAGTAGCGAGTTTGATCCTCACTGGGTGCTCCATGCTTTTGGCCTTGTGCCACATCTCAGTAACGCTTAGAAAATCATGATGAATTATCTGCTTCTTAAAAACGGTGACAGTCTTTGTGAAATTTGCAGAATTGAAAACTTCCAGGTTTTTTTAATTTTTTTTTTTTAAATTTTGTATATGATCATTTCATTTCTACAAAGCAATTTTATACCAAATTACTCTTGGTGTACTATGACACTTTACACACAATTTGTCTGGCCATATTTCTGATATATAATAAATGGCTCAACCTGTGTCTTCTAAATCTCTATTATTCCAATGATGTTAATCTTTGTTACAAATAATAGAAGCTTTGATTGGAAGATTATGTTATTCATGATGACGGTCGTCTTTGAGAATAGAATCCAGAGGTTAGCAATGAATATTTCGAAGACAGTAGGAAAGCATTGTTCAGGTTAGCAGTGGATATTTTGGTAAAAGTAGCAGAGCATAGTTCGTCCTTCTGTTTCTCTTCGCCTGACAAGCTGGACTGGACATTTGGGTAGAGTGAACAAAAATGGCTGCCTTTATACACGACGGATTGAATGTTCTACGTCTTCTGATTAGTTAACCTTCTATTGGTGGACTATAAAGTGAGTCAAGTCATTTGGACTGGCTCACTAGTACATAATGTATCCAAAAATTGTAACAGATTATGCCCTAAAAACACTGGTGACAAGGAGTTTTAGAGAAAAAATTAGAAAAGTTCAACAAAGAACTTTTTTTTTAAAATTGTATCAAAAGGAGTTTTTGCTAATTTTTTCTAAAAGTTTTATGATACAATTTTAAAAAAATTTTTTTATCTTTGTAAAACTTTCCTTTTAAGTTCAACAAAGATGAAAAAAAATTTTTTAAAAAATTGTTGAGTTTTAGAGAAAAAATTAGCAAAGTTCAACAAAGATGACTAAAAAAAATTTTTTTAAATTGTATCAAAAGGAGTTTGTTTTTTTCTTTCTTGACACCATTCTTGCCATATATTCCCTTGGAAACTTATTTTTTTAAAAAGCTAACTTTAAAATCTTATTAAAACCCCAAAATATGAAAGTAGATATAATTACTTGTGGTCAATGATTATTTAAATTTTCCTGATCTCTTGCTTACAGACATTATTAGAAATTCATTAAAAAAAAAATTTGTTTTCATAATTATTTCTTTATAGTCCACTAAATAATAAATATATTTGGTTCACATATTTTATAAACTTGTAAATATAAAATTATTCTTGTAAATAAAAATACAATAAAAATAGCGTTTTGTTCAATCAAATTATTTGACAAGACAAAGAACAAATAGGAAATGTTTATCAATCTAACATGTTTCACTTTTACGAGAGCTTTATCAGAGAATAAAAGTGAAACATGTTAAATTGATTTAACATTGCGTATTTGTTATTTATCTAAATTATGTTTAGACCCAATTCATTAAAATATTTATAAAAATTCTAAAATTACCTTTTATGATACAATAATAATAGAGTAAAAATTACCAAGTGAGTAAAAAGAAAAAAGAAAAAAAAATACACAAAAACCCCAAATGCTTAAAACAAATAAATAAATAACTGGTATCAAAAGGATGTATTTTTTTTCCTTCCCGCAGCTATTATTTCAAACTCCTTCGGCAATTTTATAATTTTAAAAATGTTTTCTTTTTTTTGGCTTGTTTGTATGTTAGACATTGCCAAATTACCATAGAAGACATAGTTGAGAGTGAAAAGAAGAAAAAGGTTAAATTTTGGCATTTCAGTTGGCTGAAGACTTGGTGTTATGCTAGAAAAGTGCATTCTTTAATTCTTTCGTAGTCTTCTCAAAAGGTCAATTCTAAGGTCACATTAGATTCTGAAAGGAAAGGCCAAGGTGAGATAATTTGAAACACTAAGTTTACTCCACTTACCTGTAGGGTTCTACTGTTGACGTCTTAGCAGACGCTTCTTCTAGCCTCTCGTGTTCTGTCTGTTGCCGAATAAACGAACAATAATGACGCATTTGCAGAGTGTTGAATGCAAATTGCTGCATCAAGTTTTGGGCATCTTTTGCAACCGTCTTGTTATGTATTGACTTTTGAAATATATCTTGCACTTTTTCAACGTTCCCTGCGATCTTTAATGCCAAATGGTCCACAGATTTTATCTGAAAATGAAAAGGAATTGGTAATTTTGAGGTGCAATTAGTTATATTCCAATCTTACTATTGCATAAACAATTTAAAAAAAATAACTATATATATTATTACACTTGTACCTATGTATGGTGAGTATCCCACTTGGTATCTAAAGATACCGAAAGAGAAAGAGAGAGAGAGAGAGAGAGAGAGACTTAAAGAGGCAAAAAGAGAGTGTAATACAGAGGAGGACAAGAGGGTAGGGTCATCTTAGATAAATGCTGTGGTTTGTAATGAGGGTGGGATTTAAATCAAGTTTTGTGACCTGTCGACCTGCTGAGGACAAATTTGCTCCTTAACTGCAACCGAGGTTTTGAAATTAAAATATTACTTTAAAAATTATATGTAATATGATGAAAATAGGTAATGTTCTTCTAATCAAAAATCCTATTAAACCCAGACTATGATGAGCAGCTGAGAGGAATCCAGAGAGAGAGATCGAGAGAGAAACAAAAAAAAAAAAAGGGGGGACCCAGACAGAGAAAAAAAAAGAGAGAGAGTGAGGAGGGGACCCAGACAGAGACAAAAAAGAGAGGGGGGGGGGGAGGGAGACAAAAAACAGCCAGAGACAAAAAAAAAAAAAAAAAAAAAGAGAGGGGGGGATCCAGACAGAGACAAAAAATTAAAAAAAAAAAAAAAAGAGAGAGAGAGAGAGAGGGGGGGGACCCAGACAGATACAAAAAAAATAGCGATGGGGAGACCCCGACAAAGATGTGAACATTTCAGTATTTTTGAGAAAGAATATGTCACTTTTCTTATAACTGCCTGGGAATTGTCATGGGCTGAAAATTAGAGTGCTTCATTAAATAATTTATTAATAAATCTAATTTATTTGGTCCTTTTAGTTATTATTATTAGTCCTCCAAACGTAATTTTAATTGTTAATAATTATAGTCATTTTGTTATATAATAAAAATAGATGATGATGATGTTCTAATCAAAAATCCTATTACACCCAGACCATATTGAGTGCCCAAGAGAGAAACAGAAGGAGAGATTGACATAGAGAGTAAAACAAAAAGAGAAAGGGAGAGACAAAAAAAGTGCAACACAGAAAATCCGTTTAATTTACATGGGTCCTGTTAGTTTATGTTAATGCAGGGGTGAAATGTGACCACAGTAAGTTTAGAGGGTGGAGGAGAGAAATTATAGAATTTAGCCTATCTGGTTTGTTTCCTTGAAAAGGAGAGGGAGAATGGCATTCAGACAAATGTTAAAAGGGGTGCATGGGGCAAGCAAGATTGAGAACCCATGTGTTAATGCATTTAGAAGACTTTCATGAAACATTAAACTTTAGTGTCCAAGGCAATAAAGTCACTAAGGTGCAGGGGGTTACCACGTGTGAAAGAATATAAGAAAAACATCAAGGAGCGAGAATGATAAATGGACAGAAATTATGAAGACAGAAGATAAGTGACATTGCATTTAAACTTTTGAAGATCAAACTTGACTGGAAAGCAAGAAGTTGGTATAGAGTTCCACAAGTGAGAAGTACGATAGAAGAACTTACAAGAGAAATTTAGCCATTTCTAATACCTTGGGAAAGGTATGAACTCCCCAGCTATGGGTAAATAGCAGGACAGACTAACTGTAATTTGGATGGCATTTCTAATCAAAGGACAAGAAAATTGGGAAAGGCATGAATCCTCATCTGAAGGGTCACCCATAGAAGAAGAAGAAGAATATATATGGTATATATATATAAATATATAGGATATATATATAAGTTCTGTAAGGTGTTGGATGGATTGAGGAATCGGAACGAGTTCAAATTCCAGTCAAATCCATTACATCAATATCCTGGGAAAGGGACAATGGAAAATAGCAGGACAGACTAAGCATGATGGCAAACTGGTCTACCACCACTTCAAAGAAAATTTGACAAGAAAATTTCCTGAAGTCCTGAAGGGTCACAGCAAAGAAGAAGAATATAGTATATATATATATATATATATATATATATATATATATATATATATATATATATGTATAGATATATATATATATATATATATATATGTGTGTGTGTGTGTGTGTATATATATATATATATATATATATATATATATATATATATATATATATATATGTGTGTGTGTGGTGGTGGAGGTATGGGATAATAGCTTGGATTGAGGAATCGGAGAGCCGAGTTCAAATTCCAGTCAAATCCATTACATTCTCTTACGTGCTAATATCCTTGGGAAAGATATGAATCCTCCTCTTCTTCCCCCAGCTATGGGTAAATAGCAGGACAGACTAAGTTCTATAACATTGGATGGCAACTGGTCTACCGCTACAAAGGACAAGAAAATTTGGAGAGGCATGTTCCCCAAAGTCCTGAAGGGTCACAGCACATAGAAGAATATATATATATATATATATATATATATATATATATATATATATATATATATGCATGTATGTATATATGTGGAGCTATGGGTAGATATCAGGACAGACCGGGTTCTCTAGCCTTGGATGGCAACTGGTCAACTGCAGAAAGAAATGGCAACCTAATGCGGGGAAAAAAAAAACCTGCCTCGTCAGTCATGTATCAAAAGATACATGATCGCCTAAGCATCTATCTCGCATGGCACACAACTGACTGAACTAACTCACCATAGGGTAAAGTGATATTTATTCTGCCATGGTACAGAAATGTGACACATGAGGAAGAAGTCGGTTTTCTTCTGTCTTAACATTAAACTTAGCTAGCCGCAAACTGACCCAAATGTACCTCAATATTCCTAACAGCAAAACAATGCATTCTTACTTAACTTTCTTACTACATCCACCATAATACCTCATTGTCTCCATGAAGGTCCTAACTAGTCCCCATATGTACAATTCATTGTCTGTGAGAGGAGGGGAATAAAACAACAATTTAAAAAAAGGTAAAGCTACTTTACGATGGTGAGTAAGTGACTGAAGATGCCAAGTCAGGACCAGTAACATTGCAGATTCTTCTTTGGCTTTTATCAATGATCTCTAAATATTTAGCAGTAGTGCCAGACCATATGTGGCAGGAATATTCAAAGCCTGGAGAAATGGTAAACTTGTACAAATATAGATTTCTGATGAGAAAAATTGTTTAGCATTACACAGTGAACCAACTTACTTAGCAGCAGCCTGAGCAATCAATTTGATATAATCTTTCCACTTCATGTTAGTGGAAAAATAGTAGCCAGAGAAGATGCAACTCATCACTCTCCTTAAGGCTAGCATCAGCAATGCCGATGAAAAGCAGAAAGGCATCTCTCGGACAATTGATAGGGAGTAGTTCTGTTGAGTTCTCACATTATATAGAAATTTGTTTACAGAGAGCATTTCGACAAAAGATAAGATTTCTTTTTCTAGTCAAATCAATTTATCACATTATGGCTGACAGGATCTAAGACAAATCTGACAACATGGTAATGCAAAGTTCTCCTCCTCCCAATTGACAACCAACTGTGGTACTATGGACACTCATGTAGAAAAGTAAAATGTGGTTTTATCTTGATCTCAAGTGTTTCTGCTTGAGAGTCAGCAGATGGTTCCTTTTGAAGTTCAGTCTCTTAAGTGGCATCCACTTTAACTGAAGGGGAATGGGGAAGTAAAGGAGTGAACGAGGGCTTTTTGGAGATCAAGTGACAACAAACTGGACACCAATTACTTCCAGGTTCTGGCCTATATTAACAGTTATGCTAGGGCTCAGAGGCTCAGTCTAGTTTACCCTTGTCTATTGCACGATTACAATACCTCCCATCTACACATCAAGATGTGTAATTAGGCGAGGAGTTGATAGGAGGGAAGAGCTGAGCCGTTAGACCAACACAGCAAACATTGTTCCAAGTATCACCCATCCAGATAAATAAGGGAATAATGATATGAGAAACCGAGTTTGTTATTTCTCACCGTGGCATGTCTTTCATCTTACCTTGTGAGCATGCAGTGTGCCCTTACCTAGCTATCAGTGAACATCAATGAAATTGAGAACCAAAATGCAACATGGTCTAATCATGGGCTGGTCGGTTGAAAGCTTGTGTATAGGCCAAGTTGTATATCTATACCAACTACTGTCTACTCAAATATTGAATCCATCTAATGTGCTGAATATTTTCCATTACCTGTAGTTATTTTTAAAATCATGTGTAAAATAAAAGCGTGACCCTCACCCAGCATTTTGCCACCCAGACAGTGAATCTCCCACATTGCTTCACCGTTCTCCTTCACTAAAAGCTGGAAAAAGCACACTGCATGTTCACAATGTAATGAGGATTAAAACAAACACCATGTTGAGAAACTAACCGTTTTCCAATATAGGTTTTTTTATTCAGCACTTTGCTTGCTCGGCCTGGATGGACAGGTAAATAGATGATACCTGCAGACAACAATTACAATATCTGTTAAACAGAGCAGCTCCCTTCCCCCTACCAGGATCTGCAGGTCATATAATGGTATTGCAGCTCAGAATGAGAAATTGGAGAGCTGTCTTTGAATATCAGTTGAGGGGGAACAAAGTATGACTCCATCCCCTCCTCACCAGCTATGGGTTAAATAATAGGGTTTGTATCTGTAAAAAAAACAAACAAAAAAAAAAAAAAAAAAAAACAACTTTTTTTTTAATCATTTTTATAATACAAAATGTTTGGCTTTTAATAGCCCCCCGCCCATATATATATATATATATATATATATATATATATATATATATATATATATATATATATATATATATATATTTTTTTTTTTTATTGTGTGTGCGTGGCATGGTAGAGTAGTGGATAGCAGCTCAGCTTGAGGAATCTGAGAGCCGAGTTCGAATTCCAGTCGAATCTATTACATTCACTTACGTGCTAATGCTCTTTGGAAAGGCATGAATCCTCTTCTAGATTTTCCTGGAGGAGTCATGGATAGCGGCTCGGATTGAGGAATCGGAGAGCCAAATTCAATTCAGTCGAATCCGTTACATTCACGTGCTAATACCC